AAATAAATAAATAAAAATAAAAGGAGAGTTTTTAATTTCCTTAGTGGCAATACTGCCACTTCAGACCCCTTTCTTCTAGCAAATATGTATGTTACCTTTAGATCTGCAAACTCTATCTGCAAAAACATCAAATAGTCTGTACCTGCTAACTGGTGAAATCTGCTCTTGTGTATAGACATGGAAAAGTGTAAAAAAGATGAAAATCCCCTAAACCAAAGCAAGCCCGCAATCTGCCCATCTTGCACCTTACCCATTTGCCATTCATTCTGAGGTAATTTAGCATTTAAAAACAATCAGACCAAAAAAAGCTTAGCACTGTGCCTAGCACAAAATAGTAGCTCCAGGGCCAAGGAGATGGCTCAGTAGAATAAGTACTTCCCTGGCAAGCGCAAGGGGATGAGTTCAATCCCCGGTTCTGCAAATATAAATAAATAAATAAATAAAGAAAGAAAGAAAGAAAGAAAGAAAGAAAGAAAGAAAGAAAGAAGCTCCAGAAGTGTTCACTTAGCTAGGTGTGGTGGTGAGCATCTGCAATCCCAGCACTCAGGAGGCTGAGGCAGGAGCACCACTGTGAGCTGAAGGCCATCCTGATCTATGTAGTGTCTCAAAAGAACAATGAAAAACTCTACATATGCTTACATAAAACTACGTTATGTGATCAGAAAAAGATACTTTCAAGCTCCCTTTTCTTTTTCTCTGCAACAATAGCTGCCAATAACTGTTTTCTCTCCATCTCCTTGCTGCAGCCCTACTCCCCTGTGTCTTATACTGTTTCACACAATTGGCCATAATTTTAGTTAAAAACAAGTATGATATATTCTTTTAAATTTTGCTTTTTGAAAGTAGCGTTTGTTCAAATCTGAATTCTTAAGTTTATATTTGACCACTGTTTTGAACAGTTATATTTTGTTATGAATTACCCCTTTAACTGAACCCTGCAGTTTTACTGTCTACATTAGGAAAACAAGGATTTTGTCAATCTAAAAATTTAATATACAGCATGTAGTTTTTGAAGTTTAATGTAGTCATTTTACAGAAATGTTTGTCCTATAACATGTTTATCCCCATCCTGAAATGTGGCCTGCAGTCACGTTTTTGTGTTTTGTTCAAAGTACATGATAGTCTTTTACAAGAAAAAGATAAAGATTGTTTTGTTTCCTCCAGAAAGCAAGCAATCAAGCAAGCTAGATAGATAGATAGATAGGTTTGTGGTTGGACATGGTGGCACACAGCAACCAGTGCCTATAGTCCCAACATTCAGGAGGCAGAGGCAAAAAAAGGATCACAGAGAGTTGAGATAGGATCACTGAGATCCTGTCTCAAAACAAAAAAGGTTAGCATTTGTATTTTGTGTTTGAGACAGGTTCTATGTAGTTCAGGAGGGCCTTGAGTTAATGATGTAGTTCAGGCTGGCCTTGAACTCACAGCAAACCTGCTTCAGCTTCCTGGAGTGTGGGGATCACAGGCATGGGCCACCATGCCTGGCCAAAATTTGTACATTTTTTATAATTTTAAAATAGTAATTCTGGGGCTGGTGAGATGGCTCAGTAGTCTAAAGCACCTACTTAGAACAAGCTAAGCTAAGCAAAGCACAGGGACCGTGGTTCAATCCCCCAGCACCACATGCCAGCCAGCCCCGCCCCCTGG